AAAGAGGAGAGGTACCCGATATATGTTCTCTAGGCCTTTTAGAAAACATGGAATTGTTCCTTTGGTGACATATATGCGAATCTACAAGAAAGGTGATATTGTAGACATCAAGGGAATGGGTACTGTTCAAAAAGGAATGCCCCGCAAATGTTACCATGGCAAAACTGGAAGAGTCTAGAATGTTACCCAGCATGCTGTTGGCATTGTTGTGAACAAACAAGTTAAGGGCAAGATTCTTGCCAAGAGAATTAATGTGCGTATTGAGCATATTAAACATTCTAAGAGCAGAGATAGCTTTCTAAAACATGCGAAGGAAAATGACCAGAAAAAGAAAGAAGCCAAAGAGAAAGGTACCTGGTTTCAACTAAAGCGCCAGCCTGCTCCATCCAGAGAAGCACACTTTGTGAGAACCAATGGAAAGGAGCCTGAGCTACTGGAACCTATTCCCTATGAATTCATGGCATGATAGGTGTTAAAGATAAACTAATCTGTGGTCTATAAAAAAAATAATGTAAAGTGTAATATATAATAGATACCAAAAAAAAAGGGCAAGAAGTTATCAGCTTATAAGTCGCTTTTGCATCATCTCAAAATTTAAGCAGCTTTTGGGTCTTTTAGCCCTATTTTACAGATAAAGGAACTGAGACTTAAAGAGAGTAAAGGTTTTCTGAGATGATGAAATTGTCAAGTGGTAGAGCTAGGTCTTAAATACAAGTCTTTTCAATTTAAAGGCCAGTTTCTTTATATACAATTGGCCTGTCTCTGTGCTTGGTGCTGAAAATAAAATTGTGAGTAAGGACCTCACAACTTGGTGGGAAGTAGATGGGTTTAAAATTGGCTTCAGTGCATCGTGGTAAGCTCCGTAGTGGTGATAGGTTCAGAAGGTGCTGCTAGTCATTGTAATGGGTAGGATTTTGGCAGGCTAAGATCAGGATAGTATTTAAGGGCACATAGATTATAAGCGAAGGTGTGGAGCTGGGGAGTTGACTAGTTAACTGGAATTTAGGGGCATTTTGGGAAACTGACTTGCAAATGTACACTGAAGACAGATTATGGAACAATTCTGTGAATGCCCAACACATATGAGAGGTCTTTAGAAAGATCAAGGAAAATGCATATTGTGAAAAACTATGCATGGATTTCACATTTTTTGTGTGTGCCAAAATAAACCTGTACTTTAACGTATCTTTTTCTCATCTTTCTTTCTTTTTAAATTTTATTCTTTTCTTCCTTCCTTTCTTTTCTTTTTTTTTTTTTTTGAGAAATTTTTGCTACTGGGTGTGTTTGCTTGTCAGAAAGACAGAAAGTGAGAAATCACCTCCTGGGGAGATGGTCACACTATAATCCCTTCTCTTCCATTCTCCTCTTGGAATTTTGGGCACCCATGTACACATACCTGGTGTGAGTTTCAAGCTGCTGGATCCGGGGCTCAAACTCAAGTTAAATATCATAGAAAGCCTCTCTGATGAGGTGACTTTTTACATGAGGTCCAACTGAAATAAAGAACCAATCATCAAACAATTCCAAAGACTATTCTAAACAAAGGCAATGGCTGGTCCTACTAAAGTTATGGAAAGAAGGCCAGCATGGCTGGATAACTGCAGAGGAGAATGGGAAAGATAAGGTCTGGCAGGGTTGCATCCTGTAGGAAGGGTATTGCATCCATCAGAAGGGTGTTGGAGAAAAACTACTGAGAATTTTAAGCAGGGAGTAACATGATGGGGTTTTCATTTTAAAAAGAGATAGAGAACCCCATAAGGAAACTATTCTAGTGGTGACTTGGACTGGGAAGACAGATGTAGGCTTTTATATTTGGACTGTTCTGTCTTGTGAGATAGAAAGTAAATCAGGGAGAGGTTGCTGATGAGTTTGATTTGTGGGGGAGAAAATGATTACAATAAAGAATGAGTCCTACATTTTTGGCTTGAAACCTATGGATGACCCATTGAATGGCTCCAAGATCCCTGAACAGCTTTTCAGACTCTCATTTTTATTCTTCACCTTTTGATTTAGCTTGATGGAGAGGTTCTAAGTTCAGAGAATGGTTATGAAGAAGACTCATCTTACTCCTAAACAAATATAACATTTAAATAGCAGCCAACGTTGATCTTAAGGCCTAGAACAAGCTTCATACACTCATTCTTTTTTTCCCCAGGATCGTGGTCCTAGCTTAGATGTCTTCCCTCTATGAAAGCCTTTCTGAATCCTTCCAGGTAGAGCTATTTACTCTTTTCTTGGTGTCATAATAGGAATTTTCCTTATATCATTGTGCCTTGCCTAATGGTTGTTTTCTGCTGTATTTTAATCTTTTTGAGGAAGGGGACTGTTGTTAGAAGTTACAATATTCTTCCTATAGTGACTACAATACAGTGACTTTTAGCATCTATTCCTATTTCCTTCTGAGTTTGTTAGACTTCCTTGCAGCTAAAATTCTAGATGTAAATTAACGTTTTTCCAATTAGTATTCATGTGGTATTTTGGAAAGTAAGAGTGAATTTGGACTATTTCTCTTGAGAAACAATGTTATAGAGACATGGATGTTGATTCTCTTCTCATACCTCCATCTCCAAAAGAAACCACCATGTCAAGTTTATTTTTAACTTTTGTTTAAGAGGTTGAAAATGCATCTCTTCTTTCCATCCTCTACTTTATCTGCAAGGATGTTTTTGAGGACCAACTTTTCACTTTGGATGCTGACAGACAATTTTGGCAGCAAGGCCAGAGCTTCTTGATCCCAGGTTTCTGATTCCCAGATTGTAGCTCTGGTGATATATTGAACTGAATAATTTCAGAGATTATTGGCTAATTTATAACATAACTCAGTGCTTACCATTCTGGGCAATATATATATATATATAATTATAAAACTTAAGAATTTACCATTTCATTCATTGACCTTGACCAAATGAGGGGTTCAGTAGATGTCATATTAATGTTCAGTTGAATTTATTTAAAAGTAAGACTTACATCCTCTATCTGCCTTCCTATTCAACAAATAATTCTGAGTGCCACTAGACACCCGTGGCTGTACTAAGTGCTGAGCAATACAAGGCTGAGTAAGATACAGCCTTATTGCTAGTTTGGTAGGATAGATAATTACTGTAAAATGTGGGCCAAATGACACAACAGAAGTAGAGTGGGATCTTAGATAAAGCAACGCTTGGAGTGTCCAGAGAGGTGACTGCCCAGAAGAAGTGATGTTTCAGTTGGGAACCAGAAGACCACTAGATTTTCGACAGTCAGGAAGTGACGGGAAGTATTCCAAGCTAATGGGATGGTTCAAAGATACGTTTTCATGAACAATCATGATTTACTAAGAAAAGGCTAAGTGCTCAGCTGATGCATTGGATATGCCTGGGAGGGGCCTCTCAGGAGACTAGGCTGGGTAGGTCATTTGGGTCAGATAGTGAAGGGCCATGTTAAGGATTATGAACTTTATTCTAAAGTCCCTGGGGAGCTACTGAGAAGGGAAATGAAGGCAGTGGAGATAGAGGTGTGATACTGGATTTAAGAGTTATGGAGGATTTAAAAATGGCAAGATAACGACCGTTTGAATGTGCTGGTGAATGACTGGTAAGATTAAAATGTGACTCCTCAGTGGGAGAGGAAGCTAAAAATAATATTTAGGTAAGCCCTGTTTTGATTTTTTGTTATTCGTTTCATATTGGTTCTATTTTTTTTCCCCTCAGTGCTCAGGGACTCAGGGTAAAAAATGTTTTAAAATCAAGACATGAGAAAATGGAAAACAGCCCACAAGTGCCACTTAGCATGACCACCCAGTAAAGAAAGAAAGAGTCAAAAAGTCATTGCTTATAATCATTTAATGGGTATTTTAATACAGTTCCATAGTTTGCACATAGATTTTCTTATGAGGGGTTTTCAGGCATTGGTAGCTATGAAATCACAGTTTTGGCCTCTTAGAATCTACAGATAGATGGCATGTATTTTCTTTCTATTTTATATGAACAGAAATTAGAAAGGCATTGAGTTAGAATGAGTCCATTCACCTTTGGTGATACGTGCTCAACTTCAGTCCTTTTGGTGAAGGGTAAGAGCTTGAACATGGGAGATGTTGTTGACATTGGAGATGTCTTCTGTGGTCCTTGGCTCTCCTAGAAACCTTTTACTGAGTTCACTATGGTCTAGACTAAGATGTTTGCAATTCTTGAAGTTTTAACCACAGAAGCCACAACTTGCCAGAAACCAGGTTCCTCTCCTCAGTTGTAATATAAATCTTCAGAATACCTGTCCTGTTTCTGAACTTCAGGGAGAAATGGTTTACCTCTTGATAATCCAATCAGGTCCCTCTTACACAGAGGGCAAACCAGGAAATGATTAAAATCCTCAGATTGATCAGAATTAAAGTCTGATTATTTCACCCAATTGACCACTTAGATTTCACCCAACCAGAAAATCCTAGAATAGCTGAAATGCTCTAAAAGTGAAAAGCTAGTCCTCAAAAGCATCCTTGCAGGTAGATAGAATAGAGGATGAAAGGAAGAGATGCATTTTCAACCTCTTAAATAGAAGTAAAGATGAACTTGATATTGTGATTTCTTCGGCATTGTGTTGCTTTAGCTCTGGTGCTCCCCTAGCTTAGTACTGATGTGATTTCTGCTCTTGTACATAGTTATAGAGGGGGTTGGAAATAGTAGCTGCCTTGGTAGAGTGAGCTCTCTCCTGTTCTCTTCTCTGGGGCCTCTCACCACTCTGAGCTGAATGGAAGGCTGGGTCACTGCGTCTTCCCTGTGAGACTTGGTTCCGACCATCTTCATTGATGTGGAGTTTTTCTCTGTTTGAACATCCTTGCTGGGTCCCTGTGTATTGTTGATCCTGGGACCTTGGATACTTCTCTTTCTTCTCATGAGTGTTCCTATCCCATTGTTGCTGATGAGTTTGATCCTCTTCCCGGGTTTGCCTGTCCTGTCTCTGGTGGTTCTTCTCATCTTCATAGGTTTGCTTGTCTTGTCTCTGGCGGTTCTGTTCATCTCCACAGGTTTGCCTACCCTGTTGTTGCTGACGGTTTGGAGTATCTTCATGGTGTTGCCTGTCTTGTCTCTGATGGTTCTGATCACCTTGGGTTCGCCTGTCCCTTGTTTGATAACTTTGTTCCTCTTCACAGGTTTGCCTGCCCTGTACCTCACGTGGACTTTCCTGACTCTCACAGTTGTGTTTACCCCAGCTTTGATGACCCTGCTCTTCCTCTGCCTGGTGGCTCTGCCTCTCACCATGGCTCTGCCTGGTTTGGGCCTGTCTATGGCTTTGCTCACTGCTGCATGATTGCCAGTCTCTCCCTTCGTGGCAGAGTGGCCTTTCTTGCTGGATTTGTGCTACAAGCTTGTGTTGGTGGTGCTGGCTATCCTCCTCAGGCTTCCATATCTGGTGGCTGTTTCTCTGATCTACCCTAGACTGGAATCCTTGTCTCTGGTTTTGGTTCATTCCCTGTCCTAGAGTCTGTTGATTTAGTCTCCCTGATCTTCCTGATTGCTCAACGTATGAGTCTCTTCTTGTTCCCTCAGTCCCTTGGAAGTACCTATTTTCCCCTTGTATATCAGTTTCCCCAGTCTGTGACTGACCATAGTGAAAACTCTGGCCCTGTCTGTCTGTCTGATCATATTGAGAACTCAGACCTTGTCTGTCTGTCTGACTATAGTGATAACTCTGGCCTTGTCTGTCTGTCTGACCATAGCAAGAACTCTGGCCTTGTCTGTCTCTCTGACCATGGCAAGAACTATGGCCTTGTCTGTCTGTCTGTCTACCCTGAGAATCTAAACCTTGTCTGTCTGCCTGATTATATTGAGAACTCTGGCCTTGTCTGTCTGTCTGACCATAGCAAGAACTCTGGCCTTGTCTGTCTCTCTGACCATGGCAAGAACTATGGCCTTGTCTGTCTGTCTGTCTACCCTGAGAATCTAAACCTTGTCTGTCTGCCTGATTATATTGAGAACTCTGGCCTTGTCTGTCTGTCTGACCATAGCAAGAACTCTGGCCTTGTCTGTCTCTCTGACCATGGCAAGAACTATGGCCTTGTCTGTCTGTCTGTCTACCCTGAGAATCTAAACCTTGTCTGTCTGCCTGATTATATTGAGAACTCTGGCCTTGTCTGTCTGTCTGACCATAGCAAGAACTCTGGCCTTGTCTGTCTCTCTGACCATGGCAAGAACTATGGCCTTGTCTGTCTGTCTGTCTACCCTGAGAATCTAAACCTTGTCTGTCTGCCTGATTATATTGAGAACTCTGGCCTTGTCTGTCTGTCTGACCATAGCAAGAACTCTGGCCTTGTCTGTCTCTCTGACCATGGCAAGAACTATGGCCTTGTCTGTCTGTCTGTCTACCCTGAGAATCTAAACCTTGTCTGTCTGCCTGATTATATTGAGAACTCTGGCCTTGTCTGTCTGTCTGACCATAGTGAAAACTCTGACCTTGTCTGTCTGTATGACCATGGCAAGAACCTTGTCTGTCTGTCTGATCATAGTGAGAACTCTGATCTTGTCTGTCTGTCTGACCATAGCAAGAACTCTGGCTTTGTCTGTCTGTCTGACCATAGCGAGAGTCTAATCCTTGCCTGTCTCTCTGACCATAGTGATAACTCTGGCTTTGTCTGTCTGTCTGACCACAGTGAGAGTCCAATCCTTGCCTTTCTCTCTGACCATAGTGATAACTCTGGTTTTGTCTGTCTGTCTGACCATAGTGAGAGCTCAGATCTTGTCTTTCTGTTTGACCATAGTGAGAGTCCAATCCTTGCCTGTCTCTCTGACCATAGTGATAACTCTGGCTTTGTCTGTCTGTCTGACCATAGTGAGAGTCCAATCCTTGCCTGTCTCTCTGACCATAGTGATAACTCTGGCTTTGTCTGTCTGGCTGACCATAGTGAGAGCTCAGATCTTGTCTTTCTGTTTGACCATAGTGAGAGTCCAATCCTTCCCTGTGTCTCTGACCGCAGCCTGATTCCTGACCCAGCCTCTCAGACTGTCCATAAGAACCTGATTCCTGTTGGTTTATCTGGCTAGAACATGAGTCTTGTCTGAGTCTTCCAGATTGGCTACAGCTTGATTGTTGTCTAAGTGTTTCAGACTGACCATAATGAGAATCCTGAACTGGTTTCTCATACTGATTTAAGGCAAAAATATATCCTTGTCTTTTAGGCTGACTACTGCTAGATTTATGACTCAGTCTTTGACCAGAGCTGGAGTCTTGACCTTGTCTCTCAGACTGATCAAAGCTACAATCCTTGTCTTGTCTCCCATATTGGCCATGGTGAGAGTCCCTATCTTGTCTTTCAGACTGACCATGGCATGTGTCCTGGCCCTGTCTCTCATATTGACCATGGTGGGAGTCCCTATCTTGTCTTTCAGACTGACCATGGCATGTGTCCTGGCCCTGTCTCTCATATTGACCATGGTGGGAGTCCCTATCTTGTCTTTCAGACTGACCATGGCATGTGTCCTGGCCCTGTCTCTCATATTGACCATGGTGGGAGTCCCTATCTTGTCTTTCAGACTGACCATGGCATGTGTCCTGGCCCTGTCTCTCATATTGACCATGGTGGGAGTCCCTATCTTGTCTTTCAGACTGACCATGGCATGTGTCCTGGCCCTGTCTCTCATATTGACCATGGTGGGAGTCCCTATCTTGTCTTTCAGACTGACCATGGCATGTGTCCTGGCCCTGTCTCTCATATTGACCATGGTGGGAGTCCCTATCTTGTCTTTCAGACTGACCATGGCATGTGTCCTGGCCCTGTCTCTCATATTGACCATGGTGGGAGTCCCTATCTTGTCTTTCAGACTGACCATGGCATGTGTCCTGGCCCTGTCTCTCATATTGACCATGGTGGGAGTCCCTATCTTGTCTTTCAGACTGACCATGGCAGGTTTCCCGGCCCTGTCTCTCAGACTGACCAGAGTGGGAATTTCTGTCTTGTCTCTCAGACTGACTGTGATGGGACTCTCTACCTTGTCTCTCAGACTGACCGTAATGGGAATCCCTACTTTGTCTCTCAGACTGACCATAGTGGCCATCACTATCTTGTCTCTCAGACTGACTGTGATGGGAATCCCCATCCTGTCTCTCAGACTGACCATAAAGGGAGTCCCTGTCTTGTCTCTTAGACTGATCATAGAGGGAGTCTCTGTCTCGTTTCTCAGACCGATTGTGTTCAGCATCTTGGTTCTGTCTCTCAGACTTACTGTGATGGGAGTCCTGCTTTTCTTCCTCATGCCTCTGCCTGTGTTGTCTGCCTGTGTTGTCTGGAAACCTTTGATCTTGTGCTCCTTCCTTTTCTCTTTCTTCCTGGGACTTTCTATTTCCACATGACTTGGAACCTAGCTTGTGATGACAGGCTTGAACCAATTGGAACACCAATAAGAGGTATTCATGAAAGTCAACACATCCATTTCTGTCACGATCTAAGAGACTCAGGATGGTTTCCACAGTCTCTGGATCATTTGGTCTCTGTGAGAAGATAAAAAAGGAACAAAATCAGGTATTTTTCTGTGATACTAAGATGGTATTAATGCTCATGTCCCAAATCCCCAAATCCATTCTAGTCTTGCATGTGCCTTCAATGGTTGAGAAGCTATCAATCTGAAGTGGCTTGGGCTTTGTTCTTTGATCATCTGGTTCTCAGAACCTCATTCTTTATTGGAACTGTGGGAACGTAACCACAAGGAGTATTTAAATCAGCTGTTAATAATTTATTTGAGGAAGTTATCATATCCCATTACATTATATTGCAATTTTTCACCTACTTCTTTCTCATCACACTGTGAGATTCTAGAAGGAGGAGAATCTAGTTTTATTAATGTTTGCACCCCTGGTTTCTATGGTGGTGCTGGAATTGAGCAGATGTCCAATGACTTCTTACTAAACAAATGAATGAATACATGAGAAGATGTGCAAACAGCTCTGTGATAGAAAAGTCGAGATGCAGATTTCAGATTACTTCTGAGAAATCATTCTCTATAGCTCTGAAGCTCTACTCCCTCCTGTGCAAGCTCAGATATAAGGAGGGGTGTTCATATGTGTGTGTGTTTGTATGTGTGCATGTGTGCATGTTTGTGTGTGCACATGTGTGTGTATATGCTGAGAGGGAACTACTAAAGAGCTGCCAGAAATTCTTTTTGTTACAATGTAGTGCAAATAAATAAAACAAAGCATCAAACCCTGGATGTAGGTATCATTCATACTTGACAACATGGGGCCAAATGTCTATGTATCTTACTCTGAGGATGTCTCCAAACTCAGCCAACAGCAGGTTCTTCAACTCCTTCTTGCTAAGTGAGGTGCAGTCCCCATTCTCTTTGGCATATTCCTGGAACACCTCGATCACACTGAGTATGCTGCTCAGGAGCTGTACCATTTTGACAAATATGGGTGAACCTAAAAGAAGAAACAAGATTTTGTTTGCATTTACTAGGATGACCAGGAGATAGTGTTTTCTAGAGGGAAAGTGCTCCTTCTTGGTCTGGGAAAGAAGTTTAAGAAATGATGGAATCTTTTCTTAGACATATCCTGCTCTTGCCTTGATCCACAGTCAGGCTCCAAATACCATGAGCTATGGTGGGAGATGGGTACAAACGGTGGTTCCTCTGTTTGAAAAAGAGATAATTTTGTAAAAAACAAAAAGCGTATGGTATTGTATATGTACCCCCTTCCCCAGGTAGGCCTTGCTTGATTGAAGGTCTCATGTTAGAACCTAAAGAAGTGAGGTGAAGAAACTTGAAGAGGCAAGGCCAAAAGGCAGAATGGTAGGACATAATTTCCACCAAAAACTAGAATACTGGAAGGGACACTAAATAGGTCTCAATCTCTGAACAGATTTCAGTCTTCTAATGAGTTTTCCTAAGAAAAGAAGGCGGTGAGAGGTCTCTCTTGCCATGGTCTTAAGGGAGCTTCTGTGAAGTTAATCTGCAGTAAGTGCTTCTGGCCTGGATGGTCATTTTGAAATATGCTTATTAAATGGAATCAATGGATAGAAAAAACATCATAGGTTAAAATAGTAAGTATATACATGGTTAAATGAACTACACAGATGACAGAGAGTATAAATAATGGGTTAGGTCCACATTGGCCATGCTGGGGTCTGTTGGGATCAGAATCTTATCGATATTTCTTCTTGTGGTATGCAGATTCCAGTTACTGGGTTTATAGGCCTCCAAATTGAAGCCTAACTGCAGAGCACACTGGACTTTCAAAAGCGTCCTGTGATTTCTATAAGGATAGTAAAGGCTTACAATAATGGTAATTCACTGCAATGAGACTTGATTATTGGTGGAGCATTATGGTCCAGGTCCTTGGCCCATATGATCCGTAAGCTTTAAGGTCCTACCTAACTTGTACAAAAGCTAATTGCCACACTATGGGATACTATGTTATCTACCTATAGTCCTAAGCCCTCAGTTTTGAGATACTCAGGACACTTTAAAGCAAAGGCACATGTATTTTACAGGTTCAGAAATAGGCCATTCCAGCCGATCTTTGTATTCTCAGATAGAGCCAGGTAAAGGAAATGGTAAGGTACCCAAGGCTATCACCCACAGAAACTAGTCTCAGATTTCTCTAGTATAGCATACAATGGCTGCTCTCAGGAGCCTCACAGACAGCGCTCCCTCGCTCCCTCGTGCATGACTTACCTGCTTGAGGAGGAATGAGCAGAAGACTCAGAAGCCGGAGAGGATACTGGAGACCTGAAAACCCATCCTATTTATAGGGGTTTTAATTGTCCTGCTAGGCCATCCCAGGAGACACCCATTCTATGGCAGGGCCTGAATCACTCTGGGCCCAGCCCAGCTCAGCCCAGCTCAGCCCAGCTTGACCTCTCCCTCTGAAAACCGTTTAGTTTATTTACTTCCCTCACTTGCTCACAAACCTGTTTGTCATTAGAGTAGTGACACTGCTCAAGTCCTGGCCCCACTTAATTAGGGGAGTGTATGTGCGTTTATGCATATACAATGTGAGGGCTCCAGAAGAGAGAGATGTAGGCTGACTTTATCCTTAATATGTATCACTTGCAAGACTAGTGGAGGGTAACAATCAAACCATACAGAAGAACATTTACATGATCACATTTCAAAAATATGTCTCAGCTATAGATTGGGCCAGGATATAGTTCTTGGGGGAGATTTGTCTTAGATTAATCTCTTGCTTTTGTAGGTAGATATTTCAGTATTAATCTGCTGACCTTTTTTGAATTGATACTTTCTTTTTAAAAAAGAATTATTTATTTGGTTTTATATATTATTATTATTATTATTATTAAAATTTCTTGTAGGACATGTGCACTCAAGAGAAAGAGAGAGAAAATGAGAAAGCAAGCTGCCAGGTCCAGGACTCAAACTGTGGTCAGCCATGTGGGAGTTTAGTACCTCAACCACGAAGCCATCTGCTGGCCCCAAATTGCTAATTTATTTCATTTAACAGTACCATGAGTCAGGGAAGAAGTAGATATATGATCAATTTCAGGACTGGAGAGATGCTGGTGGTAGAATTCTTACCACTTGAGGGACCAGCTGTTGGCATAATGGCTATGTCGCTGGACTCCCATGTAGCTGACCGTGGTTTGAGTTCCAGACCCAGTGACTTAAACTCACGCCAGGCATGTGTGTGCCCAGGATCCCAAGAGGAGAAGGGAGGAGAAGGGATTGCAGCATGGCCATCCTCCTGGGGGGTGATTTCTCTCTTTTTGTCTCTCTGTTCTCTTTGTCTTTCTGGCGAGTGCATGCGCCCTGTAGCAAAAAAGCCCAAAAACCCAAAAAACAAAAACTCTCAAAAAAAAAAAAAAGAAAAAGAATTCTTACCACTTGAGTCTTAAATCTTACTAAAAAGTTGGAATTGAGGGGTCGCATGTAAGATTATGGTATGTGTGAGGTAGAGATGCTGTCAGACCTGGGCCTCCATTTATTCTCCATCTCTGCACCCATGACATGCTAGCACAGTGTCCTAAACATAGGAGATCCTTAGTAACTATTTTTCAGATAAGCAAGTTATTGAATTGTGAAAGCATGGGAGAATCTTTTTAAGATGCAGAAAATTCTAGTTTCACCTGTATTTCTACTTTTGTCTCAGATCTAATTTCCTAGTCGAATCTTTTCCTATGCATCCATAAACCAATCAGTTATTTGTTATGACACTTGCTGTTATATACTATGTGTTCAGGATTCTACAAGGGATTCACAAAAATGCAGGAAACTTTCAGTCCAGTTGGAATAAAGAAGCTTCACATAGAAGAAGATTTTGAATACAAGGAGTAAGACATGCTAAATGCTGGATATTAGAAACCTGGGTGCATCTCAAGTTCCCATCGGTTGGGCCTGTGCTTCCCTTAGGGGGTGATTTGTGTTGTTTCTTCAAAGAAAAGAAAAGCAGAGAAGAAAGAAATTCTGAGTGGGGAGAAGGGAAAGATGAAAGCTACAAAGGTGAGAATTTACATGTTTGTTTGGATTAAAGTGAGCTAGTGATCCTTAGTAACTATTTTTCAGATAAGCAAGTTATTGAATTGTGAAAGCATGGGAGAATCTTTTTAAGATGCAGAAACTTCTAGTTTCACCTGTATTTCTACTTTTGTCTCAGATCTAATTTCCTAGTCGAATCTTTTCCTATGCATCCATAAACCAATCAGTTATTTGTTATGACACTTGCTGTTATATACTATGTGTTCAGGATTCTACAAGGGATTCACAAAAATGCAGGAAACTTTCAGTCCAGTTGGAATAAAGAAGCTTCACATAGAAGAAGATTTTGAATACAAGGAGTAAGACATGCTAAATGCTGGATATTAGAAACCTGGGTGCATCTCAAGTTCCCATCGGTTGGGCCTGTGCTTCCCTTAGGGGGTGATTTGTGTTGTTTCTTCAAAGAAAAGAAAAGCAGAGAAGAAAGTAAAGAAATTCTGAGTGGGGAGAAGGGAAAGATGAAAGCTACAAAGGTGAGAATTTACATGTTTGTTTGGATTAAAGTGAGCTAGTGAATCTGACTGGAGCTAAAGGTATATAAAGAAGTACAGTTACGTTGACTCACTTGCTATGGGTCCCACAGGGATGACCGAAGCCAAGCCTCACACACTCACACACCTGTTTCCTTTCTTCAGTCAGATATGTTTTCTTATATATCACTTAAAGCAGATTTGGAAACTACTTTGGGATTTACTTATTTATTTTTTAATGATATTTATTTATGTATTTTCTTTTAAGTTTTTTTTTTCTTTTTTCCTGTGAGAGAGAAGAGAAAGAGGGAGACTTTCATACCATGATCTCCTCCTAGCCTCAGCCAGTCTGGGTCACAGGCATGTGAATACACACCTGGTGTGCTCAGGGAGGTCCCAGAATGTGAACACAGGACCTTTCCCATGTGAATGCAGTTGTGTTATCACTGCACCACTTCCTGGTCCCTTGGGTTTATTTTAATGATAAATGGGAATCAGGGAAAGTAATATGATAAAAGCATTGGTCAGGAAAGTGATATGATAAAAGTGATATAATAAAATATATATGTTTTGGCGAATATTTTATTATGTCTGTGGTAGATGGCCAGCTGACTCAGTTTGTCTGGAACTTGTGTGTGGGGGGGTTTCTCCAGAACATGGGAGTTTCAGTGCTAAAATTAGGAGCATTCTGGTCAACATGTGACAAGCTGGTCACCCCAGATGGTAATGTAAGGATGAAAGGGAAAAATAAATGTCTGAACAGGAAGAGCAGTTAGAAGTCTGCCTTGTGGTCTGGGTAAAAAGCAAATAGGGCTTTGACCTGGACACAGCAGTTCAAAACCATAGAAGGACAAATGGACGGTAGAAGGAAAGAAAGAATGGAGTTTCCAGGCAGGTTAGATGAGAGGCAGAGAAGGTGGAGAGACCCAAAGTCTTCAAGTCTTGATAACTAGAAGAACCTTGATGTACTGAAGAAAGGTAACTTCTGAAGAAGTCTAATGGGGTCTAAGAGTCAGTGCCCATGCTGGCATTCCACAAGGTCTCTGTTTTTTGAAATCTTATTATTTTTCCTTCATCTTGCATCCTCTGCTGGTCAGAGTCTCCCAGCCTGGGTCAGGACTTGCTCGAGTCTATTTATATATCTTGAGAGCTATATCATGCTAAGATTATCTTTCTGCTTTTACATCTCTACCTAGTGCTCTTCAGTTAGGGCTCTCCTCACCTATTAGAGCTGAAGACTTAGAGAAGGTTTGGTTGACTCCAGAGGCAAACAAGGGGAGTGGAAGTGGGATGAGCAGAGGCAAAGACAACAGTCCTTATGACAGAAAGCAGCATTACTGTGGCCCTCTTTACTGTTGGCATGTTCCAGGGTACCCTAGCATCTATTTCTTTTGGTTAGATGAACAGTTCTTTTTGCCCAATACTGCAATGCAGAGACT